GCTGGCCTTGGCCTCCCAAAGTGCTGGGATTACAGGTGTGAGTCACCGGGCCCCTTAAATCACTTCTTAACTAGAATGGCTAAAATTAAAAAGGCTGTAACAGTATAAGTAGTCAAGGATTTGAAACAATGGGGACTTTGACTCACTGCTGACAAAAGTGTAAGTTGGTACAACCATTTTGGAAAGCTGTTTGGTAATATCTGTTGAAATCGAATATATTCATGCTCTTCTTGATATATAACAGAAATGCACACTTAAAAGATACATATGAGAATGTTGACAGAGCATTATTTGTAACAGTAAAAAACTGGAAACTATCCAAATATCCACCAAGAGTAGAATGGAGAAGTAAATTGTGGTATATTCATTCAATGGAATCCTCTACAGCTTTGTTACGTGAAGTGCGATCCATAGATCAGTTGCATCTGCAACACCTGAGAATTTACCAGAACTACGGAATTTTAGGCCCCAACCCAGATACTACACAGAATCAGAATCTACAATTTAACAGCATCTCCAGGTTATTTTTATATAATAAAACTTGCAAACACAGCTTTAGTAATTCTTGAAATTGGTCCTGGACCAGCATCATCACTAACACCTCATCATCAGTGGTGGCTGACACCTGTAACCCCAGCACTTTGGGAGGACATGGTGGGAGGATTGCTTAGGCAAAGGTTGCTTTGCAAGGCCAACGCTGGGCAACATAGTGAGATCACCATCTCTACAAAAAAATTAAAAAGTTAGGCAGGTGTAGTGGCACACACCTGTAGTCCCAGCGAATCGGGAGGCTGAGGTGAGAGGATCTCTTGAGCCTGGAGGTTGAGGCTGCAGTGAGCCATGATCACATCGCTTACACTCTGGACTGGGCAACAGAGTGAGACCCTGTCTGCCCCTGCCCCATCTCTCTCTCTCTTTTCTTTTTTTTTCATATTACACTTTTTTTTTTTAATAATTGTTTTTCTTTCTTTCTTTTTTTTTTTTTAAGAGATGGGGTTTCACCATGATGGCCAGGGTGGTCGTGAACTCCTGGCCCCAAGTGATCCAACCACCTTGGCCTCCCAAAGTGCTGGGATTACAGGCATCAGCCACACTGCCTGGCCCATATTACACCTTGTTTTAAATTTTTTAATTTAAAAATTTTTCTTTTTTAAAGACAGGGTTTCGACAGGTTTCTTGAACTCCTGACCTCAGGTGATCCGCCCGCCTCAGCCTCCCAAAGTGCTGGGATTACAGGCGTGAGCCACCACGCCTGGCTTTACACCTTATTTTAAGAGCCAATTCTCAGTCCCAACCTTAGTCCTACTAAGAAGCTCTGGAGGTGGGGCCTAGCTATCTGTGTTTTTTTTTTTTTTTTTTTTTTTTTTTTTTTTTCAAGCCCTCCAGCTGATGTATATAAACCTGAAGTTTGAGATTCTGCTTATAATTTACATTTCTAACAAGTTGACAGGTGATGCCAAGTGAGGACCCACACTGAGAAGCCCTGCTTGCAGGGTTAGGTGTACTCTCTGGAAAGGTCCAGAGAGCAAATATTTTAGGTGATGTAGACTTTCTGGTCTCTGTCACAGCTGCCCAACTCTGCTGTGGTACTAGGAAAACAGCCATAAACAGTATGTACATGAACAGATATGAGTATTTGCCAATAAAACTTTACAGAAATAGTCTTCAGGCTGGATTTGGCTGATGGCCTTTGGGGATTTCTGCTCTATAGCAATGAGAATAAATAGACCACACACAAAACATGAAAGAATTTTGAAACATTGCATAATGTCAGATGCAGAAAATAAATACACATGATTCCATTTTTATGGAGTTCAGAAGCAGGCAGAACAAATCTTTGTGTTTTTTTTTTTTTTTTTAAGATGGTCCAGGCTGGTCTTGAACTCCTGACCTCAGGTGATCCACCCACCTTAGCCTCCCAAAGTGCTAGGATTACAGGCGTGAGCCACCGCGCCCGGCCGTCCAAATCTTTGTTATTAGAAATTATGAGAGTGAAAAAACAAAACAAAACAAAATGAAAAACAAAAAAGAAATTATGAGAGTGCTGGGGGATGGTGGTGGTTATGATTGGAGTAGGGCATGAGGGCCTTCTGGAGTGCTTAGAATGGTTTGTTTCTTGAGCCAAAGAAAAGTTGATTCAGGCCAGGTGTAGTGGCTCACGCCTGTAATCCCAGTACTTTGGGAGGCCGAGGTGGGTGGATCACAAGGTCAGGAGTTCAAGACCACCCTGGCCAACATGGTGAAAGCCCATCTCTACTAAAAACACAAAAATTAGCCAGGCATGGTGGTGCCTGCCTATAATCCTAGCTACTCAGGAGGCTGAGACAGGAGAATCACTTGAACCCAGGAGGCAAAGGTTGCAGCGAGCCGGGATCGCGCCACTGCACTTCAGTGTGGACGACAGGTTAGGGTTAGGGTCAAAAAAAGAAAAATTACACTTCTATAGTAAGATTTGAACCTCATGGTAAGTAAGTTAAAACATTTAAAAGTGAAATGAGTAGATACATTATGGAAGAAAACTTGAAATTTGTGCAAATTTTAAATATCAGGGTTTCAGAGTCAAATAGACTTCTAGAGAATAAGATTGTTTTTTGACATCTAGGGTCCTTTGGATAAATTTGAGAAACATTAAGGATTGATAAAGATACATGGAATTTTCTTTGTCTTTTTAAGAAATAAAACACTGATTACCTTTTTGAGTGATTATAGGCCCCATCCTTGTATTTTTTCACATTAATTCCATTCTTTAGTATTCTTTAATGTTTTCCTTCTTCGTAATTTGTTTTGTCTTAGTGTATCCGTGCTTGCTTTATCTTTTTCCTGAGAGTGGTCGTTTATACTTTTCTGTTGATTGTAATTTATTGGTGGTTATCCTGGATGCTTTGCTTAGGGCTCTAGTTTTCAAAGCTTTTAGTCTTTAGGATCTGTTTACATTCTAAAAAAATTAAGGACCTTGAAGAGCTTTTGTTACAAGGGTTGTAGCTATTGATATTGATCATATTAGAAATGGAGGAATAAATAATTCACTGACAAATAATAAACCCATTGTATGTTAACATGTATAACAATTTTAAATGTACATGCACTTTTTTTTGTTATTGAGATAGGATCTTACTTTGTCTCCCAGGCTGAAGTGCAGTGGCCTGATCACAGCTCACTGCACCCTCGACCTCGTGGGTTCAAGCAGTCCTCACCTCTCAGCCTCTTGAGTAGCTAGGACTACAGGCGCTCGCCACCACGCCCAGCTAATTTTTGTATTTTTTGCAGAGATAGGGTTTTGCCATGTTGCCTGGACTGGTCTCCAACTCCTGGGCTTAAGCCATCTGCCAGAGTATATTTTCTTTCTTTCTTTCTTTTTCTTTTCTTTTTTTTTTTTTTTTTTTTTTTTCTTTTTTTTTTTTTTTTTTTTTTTTTTTTTTTTTTTTTTTTTTTTTTTTTTTTTGAGATGAATATTTGGTTCTGCTGCCACCAGGCTGGAGTGCAGTGGCAAGGTCTTGGCTCATTGCAGCCTCCACCTCCCAGGCTCAACTGATTCTCCTGCCTCAGCCTCCTGAGTAGCTGGGATTACAGGCACCCACTACCACATCCGGCTAATTTTTTGTAGTTTTAGTAGCGATGGGGTCTTGAACTGCTGACATTAGGTGATCTGTCCACCCCTGCCTCCCAGAGTGCTGGGATTTACAGGCATGAGTAACTGCACCTGGCCAAGTTTTCTGTAATTCTAATTTTCATTTAAAATTTGACTTTTTGTTATTGGCAACAAATATGTCAGTTATTTTCCTTTATGTTGTTCTTTGAGAAAATGTCAAACACCTAAATCTGAATAACTGTAGTTTGTTGGTCAATTCTTTCAATTAAAAATGATTATTCATAAAAAAAGTGGCTAGCTCAGCTTATAGATTAGTGGCATGGAAGGTTTTAACTGAGCCAAAGTGCTCTCTATTTCCCATTTTGTCACACAGAATATTTAAAAGATGATTATTGAAGGTTGTATGTTTAATGAATTTATTTATTTATTTTTTTTTTGTGACTCAGCCTTGCTCTGTCACCCAGGCTGGAGTGCAGTGGTGTAGTCTCAGCTCACGGCAGCCTCCGCCTCCTGGGTTCAAGCAGTTCTGCCTCAGCCTCCTGAGTAGCTGAAATTATAGACATGCACCACCATGCCTGGCTAATTTTTGTGTAGAGGCAGGGTTTGACCACTTTGCCCAGGCTGATCTGAAACTCCTGGGCTCAAGCGATCCACCCGCCTTGGCCTCCCAATGTGCTGGGCTTGCAGGCGTGAACCACCATGCCTGGCCAGTAAAGTTACTTTTTAATGCTTTTATCAAGGAAATTCTTAGGTGAATGCCTGGTGGTGAAGAATGTAATGACTTCTAGTATAGTTTAGAGCCCTGTCATATTTATTTTATTCACCATCGATTTTACATCTTGAGTGGAAATATCAACAGTGTTTAAAAAGGTGAGTAGGCTGGGTGCCATGGCTCACACCTGTAATCCCAGCATTTTGGGAGGCAGAGGCAGGAGAATCACCTGAGGTCAGAAGTTCAAGACCAGCCTGGCCTGTGTGGTGAAACCCTGGGTCTACTAAAAATACAAAAAATTAGCTGGGCGTGGTGGTGGGCGCCCGTAATCTCAACTACTCGGGAGGCTGAGGTAGGAGAATCGCTTGAACCTGGGAGGTGGAGGTTGCAGTGAGCTGAGATTACGCCATTGCACTCCAGCCTGGGCAACGAGTGAAACTCTGTCTCAAAAAAAATAAATAAATATAAAAAGGTGACTAATGTCTTAGTGTTGTTATGAAAACAGTTTTAATTTTGGGACGCACAGGGCCCGCAGGCCACACTTGGACCCCTGGTTTCTTAAGGGCTTTTTCCATAAATTAAGTCACATGTTGCATGAATGTTAAGTATAATTAACAGAATGTGTAATGGTGGACTTTAAAAAAAAATCTGTTTTAAACATGATGTAGAACTTTTCAAGATACTATGCTTTTTCTATAGGAATGTATCCTGTCTGGTATAATGTCAGTGAATGGCAAGAAAGTTCTTCATATGGATCGAAACCCTTACTATGGAGGAGAGAGTGCATCTATAACACCACTGGAAGATGTAAGTATTAGTCAATTTCTTCTTTTTTAATTTTTTATTTTTTTTTAAAGAGGGGGTTTCACCATGATGGCCAGGCTGGTCTTGAACTCCTGACCTCAGGTGACCCACCCACCTCAGCCTCCCAAAGTGCTGCGATTGCAGGTGTGAGCCACCGCGTCCAGCGGTATTAGTCAATTTCATAACACCTTTCACATTTTGTGAATATTTCACTTGTGAATCTCTTCCTTATTCCTTAGAGATGGTCTTAATTTTGTTTTATTAAATAGAATATCTGGAGCACTATTTTTCAGGAGCTTCTAGTTTGAAGCTCATAGAAATCTACATTTTAACTTTCGTTGCTATACGGAGCAGTTATTTCTTCTCTCAGAGTTAACAGAGTATAGTCTAGAAAGGGAGGGCAGAGGATCACCCGATGTGCCAGTGCTTTCCTTGTGGTTTTTATTCTCTCAAAGATTTTTTTTTTTTTTTTTTTAAATCTCCATTTGTCAGATTACAAAATAGTCTCTGTGGGGTTAAAATCTGAGATGGGTTGTAAACCTAAGTTATGTGACTACAAAGCTTAGTTCCTTTTGTTATACTGCTCTGTTTCCTACTTTTTTTGAACATGGACACATATAGCATTTCCACAGTGTGTTTACTATATTTATTGATTTGTTTCTGTGTGTGAGGTTTGTTAACCACCCACATGTATGGATATGACCTGTACTGTGTTTTACGGGAAATAGATCTCATCAGTGACTTTAAGCAGTGACATATTAGACTTAATACTTATGAAAAAGGATTTTTTTCTGTATTCAGTAATACAGAAAAGTTTAAAGAATAATACAATGTGGCCGGGCATGATGGTTCACTGAACGCCTGTAATCCCAGCACTTTGCGACGCTGAGGCAGGCAGATCAAGAGGTCAAGAGATCAAGACCATCCTGGCCAACATAGTGAAACCCTGTCTGTATTAAAAATTAAAAAATTAGCTGGGTGTGGTGGTGCGCGCCTGCAGTCCTGACTACTCCGGAGGCTGAGGCAGGAGAATCACTTGAAGCCAGGAGACAGAGGTTGCAGTGAGCCAGCCGATTGCACTCCAGTCTGGTGACAAAGCCAGACTCTGTCTCAAAAAGACAACAAAAAGAATACAATGTATAAAAAAGTCTTTGGAGTTCAGCAGTTAATGTTTTCTGTATTTTTTTCTTTTTCTTTATTTTTTTTTATTTTTTTTTTATTTTTGTTTTTGTTTTCTATGTCTCCTTTCTTGTTACTGGTTTTGATTCATTGAAAGTAGTAAGACATAATGAGACTTGAGGAAAATATTTCAGCATTCATCTGCTAAGAATAACATTCTCCTCCATAAGCATAATACCGTTGTCATATCCAGGACAATATTCAGGTTTCCCAGTGATCCCAATAATTTCTTACATAGCTGTTTAGTACTGTCTTTTGTTTTTTCTTTCTTTCTTTTTTTTTTTTTAAAGCTAGAGTTGCTAGGATTACAGGCCTAAGCCACCGAGCCTGGCTTTCTTTTGTTTTTTAAACCAGGATTGATAAAGTTTCAATGTCACCGTCACATTTGCTATGATTTTCTCTTTATTTATTTATTTATTTAATTTATTTATTTATTTATTTATTTATTTTTGAGACAGAATCTTACTGTGCCACCGAGGCTGGAGTGCAGTGGCACGATCTTGGCTCACTGTAGCTTCCGCCTTCTAGGTTTAGGTAATTATTCTGCCTCAGCTTCTTGAGAAGCTGGGATTACAGGCATGCACCACCATGCCTAGCTAATTTTTGTATTTTTAGTAGAGACGGTGTTCCACCATGATGGCCAGGCTGGTCTGGAACCCCTGACCTCATGTGATCTACCCATCTTGGCCTCCCAAAGTGCTGGGATTACAGGTGTGAGCCACCACACCTGACCGCTTTATTCTTTGTTGTTGTTGTTGTTTGTTTTTAAGAGATAGGGTCTTGCTCTGTTGCCCAGGCTGAAGTTTATTGGTGCGATCGTAGCTTGCCATAGCCTCAAACTCCTGGGCTCAAGAGACCCTCCTGCATCAGCCTTCTAAGTAGCAGGGATAAAGATGCATACCACCTGCCTGGCTAATTTCATTTTATTTTTGTAGAGATGGGGTCTCTCTTTGTTGCCCAAGCTGGTCTCACACTCCTGGCCTCAAGTGTCCTCTCACTCTGGCCTCCCAAAGTGTTGGGATTATAGGTGAGAGCCACACTGCTTGGGTACCTCTTTATTCTCTTAATTTACAAGTCTCCCCACAATTTTTTTTTTCTTTATTTTTTTTGGGGGGGATGGAATCTTGATCTGTTGCCCGGGCTGGAGTGTAGTGGTGCAGTCTTGGTTCACTGCAACCACCACCTCCTGGATTCAAGTGTTTCTCGTGCCTCAGCCTCCTAAGTAGCTGGGATTACAGGTGTGGACCGCCACGCCTAGCTAATTTTAAAAATATTTTTAGTAGAAGCTGGGCGTGGTGGCTCACGCCTGTAATCCCAGCACTTTGGGAGGCCGAGGTGGGTGGATTACAAGGTCAAGAGATCGAGACCATCCTGGTCAACAT